GTACATGTGGTGCATGTTTGGTCCATAAAAATTAGGTCAACTTGAAGAAGTGGCCAACTACAGAGGTGTTCCTATACTTAGGTTTAGTTTTCTTTTTTTTCATGTGTCTTATGTTCTTTTTTACTCTTTTCTTGCCTTCTTTTGGAATAGGAAAGTATTTTTATTATTTCATTTCCCCCCATTATCTTTTTAGTTACATATTTTAACTTGTCTTTTAGTGATTACGTACTATAATATGTCTGTTTGGCTTATTAGAGACTAGTATAAAAATAGTACAAATACTTTCGGAACGCTTCGTTTCATTTTACCCCCAAGATATTATTTTTGTTATTTTATATAATATCCATTTATCTATAATGTCACAGGTTCCTAAGATGATTCCCAAGTTTGATGCTTCATTTAAAGGAGGTATGGGACTGAGTACATAGTCATAGTTATGGGTATGGTTTATTATAGAGAGCAAAAGTAAGTGCTTGTATTTAATCTACTATCTTTACTTGACCAGAAGGCCTTTGCTTAAAACTTGTATTATTTTATTTTTATTTAGTTTTTTGAGACAGAGTCTCACTCTGTGCCCTGGGTACAGTGCTATAGTGTCATAGCTAACAGCAACCTCAAACTTTTGAGCTCAAGTGATCTTCTTGCTTCAGCCTTAATTCATGATTGAATATTTTCACTGATGGCCCATTTTCATCTTTTAATTGTATGTTTATTTTAGAATTGGTCAATAGAATTTTTATACATGTCTAGGGACTAAGATGAATGATAAAGCAAAGCTTTTAAACTTATTTACTGTGCATGATTTATGTACATAAAGAAATCAAAAAAAAATCTGAGATTTTTAGAAATGGTTACATCATTGGTAAATGCTTGTTTACTTAATATTTGGTTATGTTAAGTTGTACTGTGTTCATCACAGAATTAGTCTTTATACTTTTTCTTAACTTTTGGACAGTTCATGCATATCTTTATTCTCTTGCTTTTTTTTCTTCTCCTGTGATTTACTGCTGTTTTCTTGCTATCCTCATAGGTGTGGAGATTATCCCCAGCTCTCAATCCTGTGGTTCTTTTAGAAATCATAGTGGTATTGTTGTTTTATAAATATTCATTTATGTTATAATATTATATATGCTTTTAAAACTATGCATTACCTACCTTTTCTAAATTTTCCTCAAAGGAAAGTAATTGGT